TAATAAGGAATTTCAGAACTCAGTGCTGACAACAGGCCCTAGTGGGAGGGTTGTGAGCTCTATCATGACAGACACAGCCGAGGCAAACCTAGGGGAGCAGATGAATGGGACAGTTAGGTGTCTAAGAAAAAGCCTCTCCAACCCATCCCCCCCAGTTCCAAGACTGACAAAGCCCCACACCCACAGCCCTCAGGAGGCATTTATTACCTGCATTTCAGGCTCACCTTAAAGGTCCCATAGCCCTTGCAGAACAGAGAAACATCTATCCAGTTCTAGCCTGCTAGAGAACCTAGAACAAGGGTCCTCAAACTTTTTAAACAGGGGGCCAGTTCACTGTCCCTCAGACCGTTGGAGGGCCGGACTATAGTTTAAAAAAAAACTATGAACAAATTCCTATGCATACTGCACATATCTTATTTTGAAGTAAAAAAACAAAACGGGAACAAATACAATATTTGTATTTGCATGTGGCCCGCGGGCCGTAGTTTGAGGACCCCTGACCTAGAATATCCAGAATCCAGAGAGGGTTCCTGACCCAATTCCACAAACCCACATGTTCCCAGAGCTGCCCTCGGACAAATAGAGGTTCCAGACCTAGAATCGGAGGGGCAGGACACAGAGAACCCCTTTCTCCATTTTAAACAAACCAACAAGCAAACAAATAGGAGAAAGAACAATTCTAAAGGTAGAAGTTATGGCAACAATAACATAAAACACTCAAGCCAAGTGCTAATCTCTGCCAGCAGAGCTGTGACCTCACATTCTGTGTCTCAGGTCACTGATCACACTAGGAAGAGGGAGCTAGGAAATGCAATAGAATGAAGGCCCCGGTGCCACCCAAAGGCCTCAATAAATTATATTTACAGATAAACCGAATGAGATGGGGACTGCAGGTGGAGGACTGTTCCCTTACGAAAACCAGGCCTCCAGCCTTTTCCCTCCCCAGTTCCTAGCTTGCTCTCTCCTCAGAAACAATTGATTGTGGGGAAGAGGTTTTGACCAGCAAAACAGAGGCAGATCGAATCCTGATCTGCCACCCCTGCTCTCCCCAGTGAGAAATGAAGGTGGAGGCAGTTTCTGAGAACGGAGGGGCCTTGCACCCTCCATCCCCAAATCTGACAGAGAAGCCAGGTGTGGGCCAGCAGCTTCCCTGGCTTTCAGAAAGTGACTGGGGCCGGCCTGTCGCTCAGCTAGGGCCCCCCCAGAATGTGGTAGTGCACTTTGGTGTTGGTAGCAGCTCCGTGTTTCTGGCGCAGATGCAGCCGCAGTTGACTCTTGTGCCGGAAATGCAGGCCACAGGGGTCGCACTGTGGGGTGGGGAGGAAAAGAGCCGGGTCATATCCCCCGACCTCCGCAAGCACCTTTTAGGTGCTGAGCGAGAGAGAACTGTTAGCTCTCAGGCCAAGAGAAACTCTTCAGTCCTCGTCCTCCCAAATCCTCAGGGAGAGGCCAAGGAGATGGCTCCCCCCTCTTCAGCAAAGGATTTTCCATCCCTTAGTTCCTCTTCAGGAGCCAGTGTCCAGCCAAGGAGCCTAACTTCTGTACCTGTCCATCCCTACCGCCATCTTCGCCCCTTACTCACATACCTACCCTAGGCCCCACCCCTTGCACACATGGTCTCTCCCAGGACTCCGCCCAGTTGGAAGAGTTCTAGGGCCCTCTGGGCCCTGCTCCTCTCGTTCCTCTCGGAGCCCAGTCCCCAGGGAAATGGGAGGTAAGTGGTGTAAGGCTTTGGGCCAGGTACTCACGTGGTAAGGCTTCTCCCCCGTGTGGATGCGAACATGGCTTTTGAGGGTCTGTAGGTGCCGGAAGCGAGTCCCGCACGTCGGGCAAGGATAGGGCTTCTCCCCGGTGTGGATCAGCACGTGCGCACGCAGATGTGCTACCTGGGAGGGGAGGTGACCTCAGACTAGGCCTCTGGGAAAGACAGGAAGAACCCTCCCCAAAGGGCCCACGCTGTCCTCTTGCAAAGCTGTCTCTAAGCCAGTTCTGAGGCTGGCTCTGTACCTGTACAAAGCGGGAGCCACACGTCTCACATTTATAGGGCTTCTCTCCCGAATGGATGCGGCTGTGCGTTTTCAGGTTAGCCGGCCGGTTAAAGCGGGCTCCGCAGATGGAGCAGTGGTAGGGCTTTTCCCCTGGAGGCAGGGAGAAGGAGAGGTCAGGGACTCTGCCCTAGGACACCTGTGGGCAGGAAGGCCAGGGGCCTCTCCCCTCAGTTCCTCCCCTACCTGTGTGCACCGTGCGGTGACTGGCCAGGTTGCCCTTGTAGCGGAAGGCAGACCGGCAGAGCTGACACTTGTAGGGCTTGTCCTCATCCCCAGGAGCCAAGGGGTCCAGCCCCGATGAGCACCCAGCCACAGCTTCGCAGTTCTGGCAGCTGAAAAATTCACTTCCTGGGAAGGGGGGGTGGAGGTGGGGATGGGTAATGACAACAACATCAGGGAATTCTCAAACCACACAGTAGTAGGTTTTCTTTTTTCCAATTTACTGTAAGACTTCTGGGGCTCATTTGACTTGCTCGAGGTCACAGGGTTAGCAAGAGGGGAAGCCAAGATCTGGCTCCATGTCTGTCTGTCTCCAGGGTACTCTGCTAATCTCCCCTCAATAGCAGTGATGGTCGGTGGAGGCCCGTACTAGTGGGTAGAGGTTTCTCTTTCTCTCTCTGTACTGGCACTGCTGGATGACACCTTGCCAGAACGGCCCTGCCGAGCTCTGGGCTGGCCTCTCAGCCCTGGATGGGAATAGGCCAGAAGTTCCCAAACACTACTCCTCATTGGAAGCTTTGGGAACCAGATGTCTGGTTCCCACGTCTACACATTTTGATGTATGGGGTGTGACCGGGGCAATGGGATTTTTAAAAGCTCTGTAGGTGATTCTAGTTTGCAGTATGTACTTGGAATAGGTCTTTTCCCGAGGACTTTTGGCCCAAACTGGCTTTGAGCGGCCACAAGGACAAAAGCCCAGAAGGAAGTAAAAGGAGGAGCTCTCACCTGGTGGTGGACGAGCCCGCCCGGAGGGAGATGATGCAGTGGCTTCTTGGGCCCGGGGTGTGAGATGGGGGGTATTGACTGGAGCCCCACATTTGAACTGTACAGCAGTTGGAGAGAGCCTAGGTAGAGTAAAGGTTAGGAGAGATGACGTGGCGGGGAGCTTCTCTGCGAGAGAACTTGGAGCCAAAGGCCTACCCTGTGGAAGTGAGCCAGTGCTGACCGATGAGCCACATCCAATTGTGCTGCTAGAGACCCGCCACACTGAGTAAGCCTGGCCTCTGGCCAGCTTCCTAAGGTGGGCTGGTGTCCCTGGAACCCACCCACTCACTCCCTGCTCCTGACCACCCAGGCCCAGGCTCTCTGCCTCCTAGCTGAGGCTAGCCTCTACGAATTCTTGGGGTTCCAGTTTCTGTACCTGCTCTGGGGACCAGGAATGGGTCCTTCTTCGCTGCCACTGCTGCTGCTGGAAGCCTCATCTCCACTGGGGAGCCCAGCTTGGGGGCAAAGTTGACCAGAACTCCTCTCCCCAACCAGGCTCCCTGCTTGGGAGGCCTGAGAGTTTAGCACGATGAACTTGTATTTTTTCCAGTTGCAGGCCTTGGGGTCGGGGCTGCCTGGACTGGGGAGGCCTTGACTGCAGCTGCGAGACTCAGTAGGTGGGTCTGGGTGCCCTTCGGAGCACCTGGGACTGCCTGGTGGACGGGCCGTTGGGGGCGTGGGGGGCTCTGCCTCCAGGGGCCGCAGGGAGATGCCCAGAGGTTCATAGCTGGGAAAAGTGCGGTGGACATTAGTGCTATCTTCTAATCTCGGCTTCTGCCCCTGACACCTGGGGTCCAACCACCTCCTCCACGGAGAACACCGAGTGGGCTGCTCACCTGGCCTGAATGAAGCGGTGGCACGCCTGGACCACATGATCCATCTGCAAGTAGGTGGCAGCCGCGAGAACGGCTGGTGCGGTGGCCGGAGAGAGGCGCAGGCGCGACGTGTACATAAAGTCCAGAAGAGGAGCGAAGCCTCCGGCTTCGGGGCCCCCGGGCAGGGAGAGCACATCCACCCCGACTCCTGCACGGCCTCGGAAGATGGAGTAGAAGAAGCCGCTGGGGAAAGGGCAGATCAGTCATGTTTGGGGCCAGAGAACCACTGCAGAAAGCCACGCCCCGTAGAGAGTCCCGCCCCCTCCCCTGTCGCCCCGCCCCCAATCCCAGGACGCCCCGCCCCCTGCTTCTGGCGGGCTTGGCTGCCGATTTCCTCCCCAAGACCTTCTGCCTCCGCCCCTTTCCCATTGGGTCCCGTTGCATCCCCAGAGGCTCCCCTCGAACCTGCAGGCGATGAGCACCGCCTTGTGTGCTCGAAGGGGTTGCCCGCCAACCAGCAGCGTGACGTCGGTGAGGATCCCGCGCAGGCGCAGCTCGTTGAGGTTGCCGAGCACGTCGGAGGAGTGGCGCGTGAACTCGCGGACGTAGCCCAGCGCCCGCTCCGGGGCCGCGGCGGATCCCATCGCGGCCAGGCCTGCGGGTGCCGGGGCATCCAGGCGGTCCTAAGGGGCCCTCTTTCCTTCCCTCCCTCCCTCCCGCGGGTGGCCTCCTCCTCCCGAGGCTCACCTCGCGCCAAGCCCCCGGCCCGGCTTAATTCATCCCGTGCCTTCTGCCCGCGGCCACACCATTGGCTCGCGT